TAGCAGCAGATGGCTGATGAGGGGAGGGGTGGCATTTTTTGTTTTGCCACAAGCGGCAAAATATCCTGGGCCGGCCCTGAATAGGCCATATGCATTTTGGAACCCTGATTTCCCAGGGTTAGCAAGGCACTATTAACTAGACTATTCCACGTGTTAAAGAAAGGATCCTTCTATTGTTGTTCCGGGAGGAAATCAAGAAGTGTGTGTGTGCGTGTGTTTAGTGTAAGTCCACATTCACACCGTGCATTTATAGCACTACAATACCACTTTAAACCATCATGGCTTCCCCCCAAAGAATTCTGGGAGATGCAGTTTCTGAAGGGTACTGAGAGTTGTGAAGAACTATGGAGAACTAATGATTAATGAAGGGGGGAAATGGAGATTGAAACCATATGAACAGGTAAAAGAGCATATGTATGATTGGCTGCACTACCGTCAGGTAAATGAAACAATTAAAAAAGATTTGAAGGAAAAAGGTTATGCAGAAAAGGAATCGGTTTTCCAGAGAGACATAATAAACAGTGAATATAAAATTCTGTCAAAAATGTATAAGATATTGCTGGAATGGCATACTAAGGATGAAGAGGTTAAATCAGTTATGATACAATGGGCAAAGGATTTTGGATATAATATCCAATTTGAAGAATGGGAAAAACTATGGAATGAGAATATAAAGTTTACAGCATGTACGTTGCTTAAAGAGAATATAATGAAAATGTTTTATAGATGGTACATGACTCCTGTAAAATTAGCAAAGATGTATAAGACTGATAACAAATGCTGGAAATGTAAAGACAAAGAGGGGACATTCTTTCACCAGTGGTGGGAATGTAAAAAAGTTAGAAGTTTCTGGGAAATGATATATAACGAGATGAAAAAAATGTTAAGATATACTTTTGTGAAAAAACCAGAAGCTTTTCTTTTAGGGATGGTAGGAAAGGACATAAGAAGAAAGGACTTTAAACTTTTCCAATATGCTGTAACGGCAGCCAGAATCCTGTTGGCCCAAAAGTGGAAACAAGAGGAGATACCGACAATAGAAGAATGGAGATCGAAATTGCTGGACTATGTTGAACTGGACAAATTAACTGGGAAAATTAGATATGCTAAAGACCAAAAATTCATCAAAGACTGGGAAAAATTGGTTGATTACCTGAAAAATACATGTGGTCTAAACACAACGTTAGTGGGACTTCAAGAAGCTTTGTAAAAAATAAATAAGTATTGTTTATTAAAAAACAAGGGGAGCAAGGGGGAATAATGGCAATATGGGAAAAAAGAAATGTGTATTAAAGTCATAAAAACGAATGACTATCAGAGACGCTGAAGGAGGTTCAAAACAGAAATAATTTGTAATAATTTGTTGTAATTTGTTGTAATTTGGATAAAATGTATAACTGGTTGAAAATTAAATAAAAAATTATTATAAAAAAAAGAGAGAGTTGTGAAGAGGTCCCTGTTCTCACAGAGCTATGATTCACAACTATCCATCCCCTGCCACAGGGAACTCTAGGAATTGTAGCTCCATGAGGGGAATAGATGTCTCGTAAGAGCTCTAAGCACCCTTAGCAAAATAGCTGCCAGTGTTCTTTGGGATAAGGGGCACAACCCTGGCAGTTATCACCAAACAGAGTGTTTTTTCAGGAGAACTGCTGAAGTGGTTCACACCGCCTCTATTCTTTAGTCATCACTCTAATTAATGGATGAATTATTAAAAGGCCAGGCTGTCAGGTTGCTGATTAAATACCTTTGATTTTACATCAGTCACAGGCGAAACCGAGTGATGGCTACATTTCAAATAAAGTGAACTGCCTCCAACCCATACCAATTATCTCAGACTTCCTTCTTTCCATGTGAATGAGGAACAGGTGCCTTTAATTAAAAATTGTTTCCTCCGAAAATGTCCCTCTGTTGCTGTATAAACACTTAAAAATATCACTTAGCATTGTGGGCGCAAATCAAGACGTAGAAATGCAATTATTATAAGCCATAGCATTGTTTCTAATTTAATTTACTTCAGAGCAATCCTAACTCTGGTTGGGAAAAAGGAGTCAGTTGGAAAAAGAGGAGGGCATCCACAACCACACCCAAAATCTTCCAGGACAGAAGGGGAGGCTTTTGTTGTTGTCATTTAGTCGTTTAGTTGTGTCCGACTCTTCGTGACCCCATGGACCAGAGCCCGCCAGGCACTCCTGTCTTCCACTGCCTCCCACAGTTTGGTCAAACTCATGCTGGTAGCTTCGAGAACACTGTCCAACCATCTTGTCCTCTGTCATCCCCTTCTCCTTTCCCAACATCAGAGTCTTTTCCAGGGAGTCTTCTCTTCTCATGAGGTGGCCAAAGTATTGGAGCCTCAGCTTCACGATCTTTCCTTCCAGTGAGCACTCAGGGCTGATTTCCTTAAGAATGGATAGGTTTGATCTTCTTGCAGTCCATGGGACTCTCGAGAGTCTCCTCCAGCGCCATAATTCAAAAGCATCAATTCTTTGGCGATCAGCCTTCTTTATGGTCCAGCTCTCACTTCCATACATCACTACTGGGAAAACCGTAGCTTTAACTATATGGACCTTTGTTGGCAAGGTGATCTCTGCTTTTTAAGTTGCTGTCTACCCGATTTAAGTAACTAGAGCCAAGAGAGTTTGCACCAGCAAAACCTCATTGTCCCTCAAGAACAGTGAAATGGTTTAACTATACGGATCTTTGTTGGCAAGGTGATGTCTCTGTTTTTTTAAGATGCTGTCTAGGTTTGTCATTGCTTGGCAGGGGCTGGTTAAATCCACCTATATTTATTTTTTTGCTGTGCTGCAGTAGTGTGTCATGTCATGGCCCTGGAGTCTGATTCATTGCCTTCAGGGGATGTGGCTCTCCCAGCAGGTGTCTCTCCCAGTCCTACCTGGAGCTGCCAGGATTGAATCCAGTACGTTTCTGGGCACAATTCAAAGTGTTGGTGCTGACCTTTAAAGCAGTAAATGGCACTGGCCCAGTATACCTGAAGGAGTATCTCCACCCCCATCTTTCTGCCAGGACACCGAGGTCCAGCGCCGAGGGCCTTCTGGTGGCTCCCTCACTGCGAGCAGTGAAGTTACAGGGAACCAGGCAGAGGGCCTTCTCAGTAGTGGCACCTGCCCTGTGGAATGCCCTCCCATCAGATGTCAAGGAAATAAATAACTATCTGACTTTTAGAAGACATATGAAGGCAGCCCTGTTTGGGGCAGTTTTTTAATGTTTGATGCTTTATCATGTTTTTAATATTCTGTTGGGAACTGCCCAGAGTAACTGGGGAAACCCAGCCAGATGGGCGGGGCAATAATAATAATAATAATAATAATAATAATAATAATAATACCTGGGACCTTCTGCATGCAAGGTAGATGACCCTATCACTGAGCTATAACCCTTTCCCAGTCATGATCCTTACCATTATAAAAGGAAGTCGAATAGTCCAAGGAACTAATGGATGTTTGGAAATGTTGGGGAGATGCTTTCAGCTTTATAGACCTAAAATCCCCCCAACTTTCTAACTATCAGTCGACAAGGGGTATTTTTTTTTTTTAGCACATTAGAAATAAATGTACCATCAGGCTAAATTGTGATTACTGCCTTCGTTGTGCCGCTACAGCTGAAAACAATAGCTCAGACAATTAGTAGCTGAAAGGCCTGAACTCACTGTAGCGGCAAAGCATTGTGTGTCTTGGAGCAGCGGCAATGACTTTCTATTACGGAGCTAACCTTGACATTTCTGCATTTAGAGGCAGCCCTGACAAAGCTGACGGAGAACCGGCTGCAGAGAGAGGCTGCCTCAGAGCTAATGCTGGGTGTCAAAAGTTCAGTAGCGTAGAAGAGTCAGTCAGTGGGGAAATGGGAGGAGAAGACAAGATAGTGGGAGAGAAGAATCCTTAATATAATAACTGAGATGCAGTTATGTCTTCTGGCAGGAGGACGACTCTGGTGCTGTAGCTGCCTCCTTTTTCTCAACCTATTTTCTAGTGTGGGAATAATAATAATATAATTTATTATTTATACCCCACCCATCTGGCTGGGTTTCCCCAGCCACTCTGGGCGGCTCCCAACAGACTATTAAACAGAATAAAGCAGTGAATACTACCATCACTTTTAAAATATATTTATTACATTTTTGTCCCACCTTTCTTCCCAAGAGCTTAAAGCAGCGCATGTAATTCTCTCCATTTCCATTTTATCCTCACAACCCTGTGAGGAAAGTGCTTGGCCCATGTTCAGCCAATGACGATATATCACGGTACCACTTTGTATGTTACCTTTTGAAGACTTATTTGTGAATCGCTCCAATCAATTTTTTGCTTTTGTCTGTTTGTTTGTGATCATAACAGGGGGGAAAAATGATTAATATGTGTAACTTGCTCTGAGTCACATCTCTGCCCTGCCTTATTCCAGTTAATTAGATCCACCAGGCTTGCCTGTTACTCTCTTGATTTGAACAATCTCTGTCAGAAGGTAATCAGGAAGTTTCTCTGACACTGTTTTAATAGAAAATTGAGATTTACTTCTTTTTAAAGCACAGTGACTTTGAGCCACTTTTGTTTCCATTTTAAAAAAGGTAAAGGTACCCCTGACCATTAGGTCCAGTCGCGGACAACTCTGCGGTTGCGGTGCTCATCTTGCTCTATAGGCCAAGGGAGCCGGCATTTGTCCGCAGGCAGCTTCCGGGTCATGTGGCCAGCATGACTAAGCCGCTTCTGGTGAACCAGAGCAGCGCACGGAAATGCCGTTTACCTTCCCACCAGAGCGGTACCTATTTATCTACTTGCACTTGATGTGCTTTCGAACTGATAGGTTGGCAGGAGCTGGGACTGAACAACGGGAGCTCACCCCGTCACGGGGATTCGAACCGCCGACCTTCTGATTGGCAAGCCCTAGGCTCTGTGGCTTAGACCACAGTGCCACTCACGTCCCATTTGTTTCCATTTTAGTTGGACAATAATTATAATGCCTGCTGCAATTTTTCTTACTGTATTTTCCAGAGATCATCTACAGCTGGGTATTTAATGAATTCCCCTCCTTTGTGGCAGAAGACAGCCGGCGCTTTATCTCCCAGGAAACGGGAAATCTCTACATTTCCAAAGTACAGCCCTCGGATGTAGGCAGCTATATCTGCCTGGTGAAGAACACGGTGACCAATGCGAGAGTGCTTAGCCCACCCACACCGCTAACACTTCGGACTGACGGTAAGCTGCCTTGGTCTCAAAGTTGAAATGTATTGAGCCTGTGTTGATCCCGGGGGGAGGTTACCGTGAGGCGTGGTCAGAGTCCGGTCCTGGGTCAAGGGTCTGGAGACAGTCCACAAAGGGCGAAGCGGGGTCCGAAGCAAGAAGCCGGGCGTAGTTGGGAACTCCGGAAGAACAGGTCTGGGTGCTGGCAGAAGCAGGTTTCCAACGACGTTGCTCCCGCAACCTTGGACTGGGCTGACTGGCCTTTATCTCCTCTGGCGCCTAGGGCGGTCCCGGCCCACAGGTGACCCGCCTCTCCTGGCCTTAAGGCGAGCACTCCTCCTGAGAGAACCCAGTTCCCTCCGCCTCTCTGCCCTAAGCCTCTGCAGCTCAGGAGAGGCTGGAGGGTTACTGGACCCAGAGGCAACCTCACCTTCCCCTGACAGGGCTGATAGTGGAGCACCTGCAGGCAATGGGTCCTCCATCACCTCCGGAGCCAGAGTGGATGCATCTGGTGTCTGCTCCTGAGGATCCGGCACAGGTGAGGGCCCTTCAGATTCAAGGCCCTGCCTCAGCTCAGCCGGCCCTGGAGGCAGGGACTCCTGTGCAGGCGGGGACTCCTCAGATTCAGCTTCTGAATCAGATTCCCAGGCCATCACAGAGCCCCTTACACACACACATACATGCACAAACATGCTGCCTTGCCCCCGCAGGAGAGGGGGCCAGGGTCATGAAATGTCAGCATGCCCCGTGGCATGTGTGCATGACACCAGCACGCCCTGTGGTGTCTTGCCGATGTCATGCACGCACCCTGCTGGGCATGCTAACATGTTGTGCCACGTGTGATGTTCTCAGATGTGAGTAATAAAGCCAGGAGTGATAAACCTTAAGTTTCTTTCGTGCCGTATTTACTTTGCCACTCTGCTGCGATGCATATTCCATACTCTAATGTGGGAGAGGTGTTGCTCCTTAAAGTTGATACAATTATTGTTTCAATTCTTTTGTATTTCCACTCCGGGACCTTTGGGCGGGTCTATATACAGTGGTGCCTCGCAAGACAAAAATAATCCGTTCCGCGAGTCTCTTCGTCTAGCGGTTTTTTCGTCTTGTGAAGCAACCCTATTAGTGGTTTAGCGGCTTAGCGGCTATTAAAGGCTATTAGCGGCTTAGCGGCTATTAAAGGCTTAGCGGCTTAGCGGCTAAAAGGCTATTAGCGGCTTAGAAAAGGGGGGGGGAGCGAAAAAAATCACAAGACTCGCAAGACGTTTCCGTCTTGCGAAGCAAGCCCATAGGGAAAATCGTCTTGCGAAGCGCATCGAAAAACGGAAAACCCTTTCGTCTAGCGGGTTTTTCGTCTTGCGAGGCATTCATCTTGCGGGGCACCACTGTATACAGTAAATAAATAAAATAATATACCGTATTTTTCGTGTATAAGACTATATTCCCCTCTATTTTTTCAAGTTTAAAATTGGGGGGTCGTCTTCTACATGGATAGTGCATATGGGGGATTTATTTATTTGGAGTCCCAAAAAACAGGGGTCGTGTTATACATGGGGGCATGTTATACACGGAAAAATACAGTATTGCTGGGCTAGATGTTCAAACACTCTGACGCGGTCAAAGAAAGCTTCATATGTGTGCACAATAGACATTCATTTTAAATTAAACATGTTACTGTGCATGCATGATTGTTGGCACTATTCCCATTTTCTTGATTTCAAGAAATGTATTTAGGATATAAGATTACTTTCAGTGACTGCTGCTCTTTTGGAAACCCATTTGAGCAGTCCTCTCTCTCTCTCTCTCTCTCTCTCTCACACACACACACACACACCCAAACACATAAGCTCATAGGAGTAAGCATTAAACAAAGCCATAAAACATGCAAACACAGCAAGGTACTTGCTCAGGCTTATAAATATTTGAGCACTGTGAGAACATTGCAAAGTCTAGGCTTTAAGAAAGATCATTTGATTTGTTACAGTATATATTCATTCAGAGCTTAGCCCGGAATTAAGTTGATCTTTGTTCATTACCGCATGGCTGGAAAGTTTCCATGTTTGCACAGCGTGAATCCTGCATAAGAAGTACATTCTTCTTGTACTTCAAGCCATAGCAGTTTGTTTTGCTTTGGCATCCTCCTAAATTTACCCGTCGTGGTAGTTCAGCAGTCGACAAATGTTATCTGACATTATCTGGGCTAAGCCCCACTTTCCTTTTATAAGACACTGAACACGATTTCCAAAAGAACTCACATTTCTGTTTGGTCATACCCACAAATGCATTGCTTTCCATTCTCTTCAAGAAGATGGGTTTTGTTGACCTACAGCCTATAGGAAACATGAGCTTCATGCAACGGTGGTGAATCTTCACACATTGCATTTTTCCAGATGCACACTTGTACAATGTGTGTGTCTCCGAGCACATGCTTATTATGTATTACAGTGGTACCTTGGGTTACATACGCTTCAGGTTACATACGCTCCAGGTTACAGACTCTGCTAACCCAGAAATAGTGCTTCAGGTTAAGAACTTTGCTTTCAGGATGAGAACAGAAATCGTGCTCCGGCAGCAGCAGGAGGCCCCATTAGCTAAAGTGGTGCTTCAGGTTAAGAACAGTTTCAGGTTAAGAACGGACCTCCGGAACAAATTAAGTACTTAACCCAGGGTACCACTGTATGTGGTTTTTATATTGTGGTTTTATGTTGCAGCCACCCTGAGATCTGCAGGTACAGGGCGGTATACAAGTTGAACGAATAAAAATCAATGAAGCACATGTTTCTTTCATTCACACATTACATTTTTAGATATCCTAAACAGGAAATGTGTGAATGACAGAAAAATGTGCTTGAAGAAACATGTGTCACGCAATTGCACAATTTGTTGCAGGAAATTGTTCAGTGGTCCACTAGTTAGTAAATCCTGGTTTGTTGCCACATGATGTGTGAAATGGTCCACAGGCTCTGTACTGTACATAGAAGAGCCAATGTCTGTGGCCAAAGAAGATGAGATGATGATGGTCAATGATGGGATAACCCGTCCTGCTATTTTTAGTTAGCGATATGCAGCCAGGAGTATGTGGGAACTTAAACAGGGTGTTGGGGAAGGGATAGATTTAACTTTCTCTCCTGCACGCCCCCTACTCCCATGAAAACCACTCACTGGAAGTAATTATTTGCCTCCTTAGGGGAAATGTGCATGTGCCCTATAACGCCCCAATGAGGTTATTTAATTTGGGGAAATGACTGTTTCGAACACAAGTTTATGAAGGGTGCAGTCACAGGTCTCGACTATCTCCTCTAATTGTGCCCTGAGAGGAAATGCAGTACGTATGAGAAATTCGATTCACAGCTTCTCAGATGACAGGGCTGGAAGAACTCTTGAGAGCCTCCTTCCTAGTAATGGCAGGCTACCACTCTGATAAAGGACGGGTTGGTCTGTCAATTTCAGATTCTCTTAGTTTCTCATTTTCCCAGTCAAGTTCAGCTTGTCATATTTCAGCACCAATTTGCAATTTTTAAGAAAGTTCATCAACATTTTTTAGTCTATATTTCTCTTAGCATACGTATTTTTGCATACAATTTTCCCCGGTACAATGCATTTTTCATTTAGAGAAGCATTACTTTCATTTAGATAAGCATTTTCAGACACTCTTCATCCTAATACACACATTTTTGCGTGTGCATGTGTTTTGGTCTGAGAATCACCTACTGAAATTCAGAGAAGTGTGCATTTCAAAGAACAGTTGCATACAGTTTTGCCGATTGATTCAGAAAATGCAAATGTATTCCCATTAAAATGCAAACTGAACCAAATTTATTTCCTATCCTTAGCTCCATTTTTCAAATACTGGTATAGGGAGTTGTTGTTGTTGTTGTTTAGTCGTTTAGTCGTGTCCGACTCTTCGTGACCCCATGGACCAGAGCACGCCAGGCACTCCTGTCTTCCACTGCCTCCCGCAGTTTGGTCAGACTCATGTTTGTAGCTTCGAGAACACTGTCCAACCATCTCGTCCTCTGTCGTCCCCTTCTCCTTGTGCCCTCCATCTTTCCCAACATCAGGGTCTTTTCCAGGGACTCTTCTTTTCTCATGAGGTGGCCAAAGTATTGGAGCCTCAGCTTCACAATCTGTCCTTCCAGTGAGCACTCAGGGCTGATTTCCTTAAGAATGGATACGTTTGATCTTCTTGCAGTCCATGGGACTCTCAAGAGTCCCCTCCAGCACCATAATATAGGGAGTAGGTACGCTCAATGCATATTGTGACCTGCCCACAGAGACCCACACCTATGCAGTTCATCAGTGTAGGCAAAGGGGGATCTCCAATTTGCCTAGAGCAAAGCTTTCCATCCTCTTCCCAGGTTGTTTGGGTCCCATTCCTTCTGTTCATGCAAGTGAGAAAAGCAAGTTCCATCCATCCAGAAGTTGATGAGGTCTACAAAGTCTTCTCTGTTGATATGAATTTCTCTTGGCAATGCATGTGCTGTAGTTTGAGAAGTATCTAGAATTCATGTGATAAATGGAAAGAACCTGTTTACTGGACAGGCTGCCAGAAACACTGTGATAATTTGCTTGGATTTGTTATAAGCAGTGAAGGGTTTTGCTTGCGTTGCTAGCTTCAGTCCCTAGAGCAATCACATCATTCCATGAACTCGCCAGCCATCCTGTTTTCATGTTGCATTAATAATCTATGTCATCATACCCAATTCAAGACTTGTGTGTGTGTATACCATAGAGATGTGGTTTAGATTCCCCATTAGAACACCTAAGACTGTAACTTTTACAAATTGCAACGTTAGCATTTGCTCTTGGTAATTCGGTTGCTACCTGTCAGTCTGAGAGTCCTCATTAGCTATTGGCTATGCTTCTGTGATCTCACAGAAGCCTAGAATGGGGATCAGAAGGTAGAAGAAGGTGGGAGGTGCTGACTGAGGAAAAGACCAAAATAAAGTAGAATAGTGACTGTATTTATTGATCACTGGGTCATTGATCACTGATTCCTTCCAAGAGGAAAAGACTGT